GGGTGATGAATAATGATGAGTGATGGTTAGTGATGGTGGGTGATGAATAATGAATAATGATGAGTGATGGTTAGTGGTGATGAGTGATGGTTAGTGGTGGTGGGTGATGAATAATGGTGATGAGTGATGGTTAGTGGTGGTGGGTGATGAGTGATGGTTAGTGGTGGTGGGTGATGAGTGATGGTTAGTGGTGGTTGGTAATGAGTGATGGTTAGTGGTGGTGGGTGATGAGTGATGGTTAGTAGTGGTGGGTAATGAGTGATGGTTAGTGGTGGTGGGTGATGAGTGATGGTTAGTGGTGGTGGGTAATGAGTGATGGTTAGTGGTGGTGGGTGATGAGTGATGGTTAGTGGTGGTGGGTAATGAGTGATGGTTAGTAGTGGTGGGTGACGAGTGATGGTTAGTGGTGGTGGGTGATGAATAATGGTGATGGTTAGTGATGGTGGGTGACAAATAATGGTGATGATGGTTAGTGGTGGTGGGTGATGAATAATGAATAATGGTGACAAATGATGGTTAGTAATGGTTGGTGATGAATAATTGTGATGAGTAAGTTGTGAAGAGTGAGCATTAGTGGTGGTGGATGAATAATAATGGTGATGAATGAGATGGCTAGTGGTGGGTGAAATCTGTTGATCATACATATTTCTGGGGGGAGCCTCTTCAGCTCCCCAGAGCTATCCAGGCTGATATGGTTATATTAAACTTTGGCATCAGTCAGTGTGAATGGAGTTCTTAGGCCTACTGGGGACCACGAGGCAGAACCTGGCCCCCTCAGAGAAGCGCGAGGAGCAATGGCCTATAGAATTGCATGTGTGATTTAGAGCATTCTATGTCTGCCATCGACTGGGTTAAGCACCCAGAAAGGTAAGCATCCCAAAACAAACCCTATTCTGGTTGAAACTGCAGTACTACTGAAAGTCAAAAGAGTGGACACAACTTTCCAAAGAAAAATGACCAAACAAGCATGACGTCACCACGTGCTGTGCCACCGTCTGTGCAGCTCCCCCCTCCCCAAAAGAGGGAAGGGGGGAGGGAGCCCCAAACCCCTCATGCCGGCTTCCCACACCTTCAGTTCTCGGCTGATGTGTTTGAGGTTTGGTTGTGTCACTCCAGCTCCTGATTCTTGGGTTTTCAGTGCTGTGCCTTGTGTCTAGTGCTGTCTTCAGGGTGGTGCGTGAGCTGGAAGTAATTTCACAGGTGCTTGGGTGCTTGGATGGCATCCCTGGATCTCCGAGATGCGTATTGGCATGTCGCGATTCATCCGGGGTTCAGGGACTGGCTTGGTTATGTTGTGGGGCGTCTCAGTTACTGCTTTCGTTGTCTTCCGTTTCGGTTGAACCTGGCACCTCGTGTGTTCACACGCCTTAGCCCCGGGTTGTGGTGGCTCCTCTGCATCATTTAGGTCTTCGGGTGCTGGCCTACCTCGAGGACTGGCTGGTCTGGGTTCCCAGCCAGTCAGCGTGTCTGCCCATCAGGGATCTGGTTTTTTCCCAGCTTGCCGGGTTCAGGTTCCTGGTGCACTGGAGGAAGTCCCATTTGGTCCCCTTCCAGGTTCGGACTTTGTTGAGTCTTGTATGAGACTCTCGGACCACTTCCTTCTCTCTCCCTCTGGAGTCTCTGCTTCTGCTGTGCTCCTTCCTTCGCTTGTTTCTGGGGGCTCTCAGGTCACTCGACGGTTGCTCGAGGGTTGGTGTGGGAACCTGAACTTTGCCATGATGGTCTATCCGCCGGGTCGGGTTTGGCTTCGTTGACTGTTCTGGTTCCTTTGGGGACGTCCCTTCCGCCTCTCTCTCGCAATCGCTGGGTTCGGCCTCCGGGGGCCTTGCGTCGGCTGCACCATCGCCGGCCTTCTCTTTGTTTTTTTTTGGTTCACTGCCTTGATGCCTACCTGAGCCCTTGCTCGATGTGTTCACAGATGTGTCATCTCTTGGCTAGGGCTTTGTGACCAATGCTCACCAGGCGGGCCAGAGGCAGAGGGGTCCGACCTTCCATCAGGCCCACAGCACGGTGTGGGAGTTTGCGATGCTGTGGATGTCGCTTTGGAGGGTTCTGGTCGCTCGTGGATCAACAATCAGGCTCCATTCGGATTGCTCCCTGGTGGCTCATTGCCTGAACTGTGGGGGTTCGATGCGGTCCTTGGCTTTTAGGGGCAAAGGACCAACAGTATCCTCGTATCATGCGGCGCTGGCGGAGCTGTGCAGCTTGCTTTCAGCATTGATGTTACTTTTATGCCGTTTCGCAAGCTGTCTCGAGCGTTGTTTCACCTCCGGCCTGCTCATGCACCGCCTGATTGGGACATTTGGGGCTTGACTCTATCTATTTAATTATTAAAGTAATGAAATTAATTACGAAGGACCACCCGCTTTTATAGTAAAGAGGGAAACTAATAAAAATGTGATCATTTGAAATTCCTAGAGGAACCAGTAACTATGGATAAATACTAGAAATATAATCACTTGAATAATTAATGGGCTGTATAAATTATTTAATTGAATCAAAGCCTCAAACACCTACATTGGGGGGTTATTGCTAGAACTTCATATATGTCTAGGAACTAGTGTGGTTCGTACACCAGTTCATTGTGTAATAACCTAATCTTATGACCAATTAGAGAATCAATAGTAAATTTGTCACCAATAAGAATATAGATCATGAATATCAGAAATTAATAATTATAATAAAAACGTGTTAATTCCAGTGCACAGTACTCTATAATGATAATCAAGTACAGATAATTTGAATAATAAAGAAATACGAAAAAGTCTTAGCTTGAAGACGTTTTCGAAGACATCAGTCACGAATCATCCTCGGAATGTCCGGAATTCTTCGGAGAACACTGGGAGATGAATAACACGGGTAAAGTAACAGCTCGGGGAATTCCTCACACGCAAGCTGTAAATTAAGATATATTACGTAGCAACATATTAGGCTACTAAATATCTATATTCAAGAAATTGGGAATGGAGAGTAATAAAATATACTAACATGTGTTTTATTTATGTCGCTTGGCGTGACGACAAGCTACCCTGCTATATACAATCTCTAATGATGCATCAAAAGGGAGTTATATGTGTACTTAGCTGTATAAGTTGAAGCTTGCCGAAACTCGCGTCCCAGGCTCTAGCGTCACAATGGCAAACACGTGGTGGCTAGCTTGGCCTAGATGTCGACGAGCTTCTCTGGCCGGTCACGATGGATTACGCAGAACAAATTGACAAGTTCTGGGCTAAATGTCAGGTTAAATCTTGCTGACGATTCACCACAACGTATCTGGACACTGACCAAACGAGTTGCTCAATTCCACAACAAGTCTTCACGCCGCACTCAGGCGCCTTCCTCTCCCACCGACGCCTACACACATTCTCTCCTTAATGGCGTCTCTCCCTGCCCGCGTCCCACATTCGCCATACAAATTATTCACCACGAATAATATTATTTCTCGCAGTTGTGGCTAAAATGCTTTAATAAAGACTGGGTTATAATTCTGGGGAGTTAAATATTATTACTTTCTCATTTACGATGATAAACTAGAAATGGAGATGATTTAAATTCTCTCCATGGCATTCACGCGTGACGTTAAATTTATTACCAGATAACAGTTTTAACTAGAAACTCTCGATTTGACATTATTTGGGAGTCAGGTTATCGGTAAATAATTATCACACAGAATACTGTTGTTTTTAGAGAATCAAACTCAATTCTCTAACACACTGGATATAAATGTGTTTATTTTGGTAGAATCTGACGCAATACTGGTGTCTGGTTACGTAAGAATTCTAGCATTATTGTACAGATACAATTATTAGTTCATGTGAACCCTACTGTTGGTTAATTTTAGTTACTACAGTAATTAGTAGATTTTAGTAATAATTAATAATAATACAACTGTATTGTATTAGTGTTGGAAATTTCCAACACCTGAGCCATCCTGATCATTGGACAGGGTGCTCTCTGTTGTCTCTTCCCCTCAGTTTGTAATGGCCCCTTCGGTTCAAGAGTGTTTCTCCAAGGCTCTTTTTCTGTTGGCATCGGCCTCTGGGGGTCATGTCGAGGAGCTTCATGCTCTCCTCCGGCACAGAGGTTATCGCTCTTTTTTTTCTCTAGTGATAGGTTTGTTAGTTTGCAACTGTCTCCTTCTTTTCTGGCAAAGAATGAGATGAGTGCCGACCGCCTTTTGGGCAAGTCCCTCTTGTTTTTGTCTTTTAGTTAGTAGATCCGGGGAGCTGAAGGGGCTTCCCTCAGAAAACCGCCGTTGAATGTAATGAAATGCCATTTTCTGGGTGAGACCCGGAGGCTCCTCGGTATATGGTTGGTGTTTTTTTAGCGTGTTTTTGACATTGGCTACCGGTAGCTGGCATGAGGGGTCTGGGACTCCCCCTTTTCCCTTCTGGGGAGGGGAAAGCTGCATAGATGGCGGCGCGGCACATGGTGACGTCATGCTCATTTGGTCGTTTTTCTTTGGGGAGCTCTGTCCACTCGTTTGACTTTCACTAGTAGTTCCAACCACAATAGGGGTTTGTTTTGGGATGCTTACCTTTCTGGGTGCCTGACCGGTCTATGTCAGATATAGAATGCTCCAAATCACACGTGCAATTCTATAGGCCATTGCTCATCGTCCCTCTCTGAGAGGGCCAGGTTCTGGCTCGTGGTCCCCCGTTAGACCTAAGAACTCCATTCATACTGACTGACGCCAAAGTGTAATATATCCATATCAGCCTGGATAGCTTCGGGGAGCCTCTGGGCCTCACCCAGAAAATGGGGTTTCATTACATTCAATGCTGATTTTTTATGCTTTATGAAAGCCTCCACAGATAGAATATTTGCTGATCTTAAAGTTGTTTTCTAATGAATGCAAGACAACTGTTGTGGGTTGCTTCCTGAAGGAGGTCAGTAGCTGGCCTGGGTGGACCTCAATAAGCCTAAGTGCAGGCTTCCCGTCTCCAATAACGGGGAATTATTACTGCCTTGCTGGATGTAACTTGAGCTGTACCTTGCAGAAGACACAGAGGGAGTGTGTTCCTCCATGCAACTGTTCTGTGACAGGAATAAAAGATAGCTTGATGCCTATAATCCACGTTTACTGTCGAAGAATTGGCTTGACAGAGCTTCCACAAATTCCACATTATACAAGAAGGCTTTATCTGGAGGGAAACAATGTAAGTACTATTCTGTATCTCCTCTATACTCACTATACAGTATTCTGTTATCAGGAATGATATTGCTCAATCTATTCATATTTGAGTCAACGGTTTTCGGTAAATAAAAAGGTGAAAGGTGCAGAATCTTCTTCCAACTTCCTTATCCTTACATAACTCATCTCTCCTCTACTATGATTGTGCTACACACAACACACTAGTAAACTTATTAAACAGTCCACCTTATAACAACTTCTGTCATCAGACAAGATTTGTCTGACGGCAAATGAGCTCCCCTCACAAAGGCACGTGCTTTTGTGAGGGAAGCCAGGTTCTGGTCCCCAGTAGGCCAAATAGAATTTCCATGACTAATGTGATCTTTTAGTATGGAGCAATCTCAGCAAGATTGCTTCAAGGAGCAACTGGAGAGCTACCAAGAAGAGGCATTTCATTACATTCAGCTCTGGGTTTTTAAGAAACATTGGAAGCTCTTGTACACAGTGAATGTTGCTTACTTTACTGGTGAAATGTTGTCTCTTGTGTGACTGAATGGTAAACACTGATATTTAATGACTAAGATACAATGGAATATTGGAAGCATTAGCATTTTTGTTGATATTAATCATGAAGATTGTTTTATAGTCTAGTAAAATATTATATATTTGTTTTATAATCTAGCACAGTATATATAATAATATGTAACTTGATGGTGATTATAGTAAACTACAGTACATTATAACTTGATAATTTAAAATTAGTTTTGATAGTCCATAATTAATGGCACAGTGATAAAATATATGTAATATATTGTTGTAATTGCAGATCACAAATATGAGCCTGCTATTCACCAATGAACGCTACTATCACATAGACTCCATTTCTCTGAACCACAACCGCATCACCTACATGGATGGCGAACTTTACTATAACTACATAAAAAATCGTTCCTTAGACATTGGCATTCTTTTGGCACACAATAAGCTTAGCACGGTACGTTGTCTGGAAATATATGCACTCTGCTACTTTAAGTGGGTGTGTGTACCTGTGTACTTTCTACTCTGTTGTGTGCATTCCCATGTACCGTCTGCTGCATTGAGTGTGAGTGCCCAGTGTGAGTAACCGTGTAGACCACTGTATTCTGTGTGTGGGCCTGATGTATGTATCCCTGTACTCTGCTATATTGAATGTGTAATGTCCTCCCAGGTTTTTTTGAGTACATGTAGTCTGATGTGTGTGTCCATGTATGTTGGTGCATTGTGTGTGTGCCCATGTGAACACAATTCATAATTTTGAGCAAGCCCCTCCCCAGGTAGCCAGGTAGCTCTCCTTAGCTTACCTGGAGAGGGTTTCAGGAGTTGTTCTACTCCAGTAGCTTATGTTAATATGCCAGCTTATGTTACTGACATGTTAACACTTTTTCCGCCCTGGCGGGCGGGCCGTCACACACCCCAAAGTAGGCCGAGCGATGTTTATACTCTTTTTCAGCATTCTTACCTCAATTTTCGTGCTACACCGTTCAATTTGGTATCAAATTGTCTGCAATAGAATGCTCTAAAGAAATAATTACATATAATAACAAATATAAGAACAACGTTATCAATACCATAAGATAAAGTACTTAAAGTAAAGAAGGGTGACTGCCTCACACCTGATGGTCCAGGTGTTGCAGCACTGTCACTAGTAGAAGTGCTCTCATCCTCATGTTCATCACCGGCATGTATGATGTCATTTCTGGGGGAACCCTGTCGGCTCCCCGGAGCTATCCAGGCTGATATTACTAATATATTAGACTTTGACATCAGTCAGTGTGAATTGAGTTCTTAGGCCTACCGGAGACCACGAGCCAGAATCTGGTCTCTTCAGAGAGGCACTAGAAGCAATGGCCTATAGAAACCCCCCATGTGGTTAGAAGCATTCTATGTCTGCCATCGATCGGGTCAGGCACCCAGAATGGTAAGCATCCAAAACAAACCCCTATTCTGGTTAAGAAATTGCTACTGAAAGCCGAACTAGCAGACAACTCCCCAAACAAAAACAAGCAAACGAGCATGATGTCGCCGCACCGCCGTTTGCGCAGCTCCCCCCTCCCCGGGAGGGAGGAAGGGGGGAGCACCAAACTCCTCGCGCTGGCTACCCAACACCCCAGTTCTCAGGCTGATGCGCTAGGCAGTGGTCGTGTGCTCTGGCTCCTGAATTGGTCTTCAGCTCTGTGCCTGTGTGGTGTGGTGGCTGTCTCATTGGGGGTGTGCAAGCCAGGAGTAATTCTTCAGCATTCGGGCTGCATGTGCCTAGGGTTACCTTCCCTAAGTGCCCGGTAAGTACTGCCCTTGGGGCTTGGGTGGTCCTTCCACAAGTTCCTTGGGTTCTGCCTCTGCTTGGTCATTTGCTGTTTGGCTTTCAGATGCCCTTTGTGTGCTGGGGGTGTTCTTGCACTCTTGTTAGCCTTTGGGTAAGAGGCAGTTTGCATTGGGTGTGGTGGTGTGTGAGCCAGATATAATTCAAGAAGTACTGGGGCTGCATGTGCCTAGGGTCACCTTCCCTAGGCACCCTATAAGTACTGCCCTTGTAGTTTGGGGCTACCTTCCACAAACTGTTCGAGAACTACCTCCGCAGGGCTCTTTTGCTGCTCAGTGATCGCCCACCCTTGGGGTCAGCTGGGGGTTTTCTTGCCAATGTTTGACCTTGGGTAGGAGGTAATGTTGTCGCTGGCAGGGGCGCCAGGTGTAAGAAAAGCACCTAAGAAGGCACCCAGAAAGTCAGTGAAACAAAACAGACCACTTCTTGGTTAGAAAAACCAGACTACAGCCTCAAAATGGTCAAAAACAATGTAAACAAATAATTGAAAATTCTTGAAACTTGCACAAGATAGTTCGCCCCATTTTCTTCCCTTGTTTGGGGGAGATGAGGAGGGAGGCAGACCAGGTCAGATGGCTGCTTCATCAGTTCTTATACTGATGTTCTGCCCAATGGTCCAGTAGTCCATTGTGCATTTGACGAGAAGTGTTGGAGGAGAACTGTTGGACCATTAGACAGAGTGCATGAGAACAATGCTTAAAACCCTGATTATGCTTCAGTTGTAAGCCTTAGGATTCGTAGAGGATTCAGTAGAATCCCAGGTTGCATTGCTTTTGACGATGTCGTGGCATGGTGGTCTATGCGCTAACCTGGGAGTATCAGGTGAGTGGCTTCCAATCCTCCTCATGATTTGTACTGATTTTCTCATAGATACATCATGTTAATGTGATTTCATTGTGCATTTTTTCATTATTATTATTATTATTATTATTATTATTATTATTATTATTATATGAAAGGTTATTTTATGATTTATTATTTATATGTTATTGAAGATGCCAGTGAAGGAAATGAGGCAACTGTACAATGAAGCTGTTAAAGAGGGCAAGATCCACCTGCCTACCTTTGACCTGGGACACAATCCTTGGAACTGTGATGACTGTAATTTCCTTCCCGATTTTCAGGTCAGTTACTGATTGTTTTCTTTGCTACAGCAAGTTATGCTTGTGAAATTTGAAGATGATGTGGTAAGACTGTAGTATGAGAGACATCATCTTCTGTTGCTATTTCTTTTCCCTACTGATATTTCTGGATTGTATCTAAAGAATTGTTCAACCCATAATTTTAAACATAGCACCATCCAAGTACTGTTCAGTACAGTATAACACTGTCATAATGCAGATATTACACAATGCTGTATTATTGTGTGACACTTAACCTTTAGACTGCACAATACATATATAGATGATTTAAGGAACATTACCGATACCACGCAATACATTAATAGCTGTTTTAGTGTCTAGCGCTTTAATGTAAACGCCTCGCACGGGATAGGGGCAGCTATAGTGCAGCCACGACCGATAGTTGGCAGATGCCACCTAGAAAAAAAATCGTGGCCAACATTCCTGGGTGTGAGCGTCTCAGTACTGAGCTGAGTACACCAAGGCTGATGCACGCAGCATGAGTTCACAGCACCACTGTTCAGCTTGTGACCACAGCATTGCCTAAAAATGTCAAAATATATATGTACATTCTATTATTTAGCGATGATAGTATTACAGAAGACCCTTGACTGTGATAAAACTGACCAGGATTCTGATAATAGTAGGATTGTGGTGATATTTAGCGCTGTGCTCCATGGTGGGCGGAGTAATGCTAAGGGAGGGAGGGTGGTGGCGTCGTCTTCTGTGTGTACTCACCTAATTGTGCTTGCAGGGGTTGATCTTTGTCTCTTTGGTCCCACCTCTCGACTGTCAATCAACTGGTGTACAGATGCCTGAGCCTACTGGGCTCTATCATATCTACATTTGAAACTGTGTATGGAGTCAGCCTCAACCACATCACTTTCTAGTGCATCCCATTTATTAACTACTCTGACACTGAAAAAATTCTTTCTAACGTCCCTGTGGCTCATCTGGGTACTAACTTTCCACCTGCGTCCCGTTTTTCGTGTCCCACCTGTACTGAAGAGTTTGTCTTCGTCCACCCTGTCAATTCCCTTGAGAATTTTGTAGATGGTTATCATGTCTCCCCTTACTCTTCTGTTTTCTAGGGATGTGAAGTTCAGCTCCTTTAGCCTTTCCTCGTAGCTCATTCCTCTCAGTTTCAGGACGAGCCTGGTCGCATACCGCCACCAGGTGGTGTGGCCACCTTTTATTGACTGGACTCACCATATCAGCTTAGTGGTTCGCTATGGTGAACACAAATGTAGATACTTATATGTAACGTGTGTATAGAATGTAATAACAACAATAGGAAGATGTTGGGAGCCGCCATTTGGTGTGGGAGGTGCGTCGTCTGCACGACTTGTCATGTTGTTTACTGGGGCCACTATGGTCTTTGCGCATCATACCAGCTTATTTGTACAGGTACAGTGGATAGAACATGTAGATACTTATATATAATGTGTATATATAGTATAATAACACCACAAACAGTATTGTTGGAGGAGAAATATCAGTGCGTCTGGCCTTGAACCAGTGACGGCAGCAGTCACCAGCTGACTGTGTGTGTAGCTACGTCTCTTATTGCTTGAACTCACCATATAAGCTTAGATGTACAGTTATGGTGAACAAAACATGTAGATACTTATATATAACGACTGTGTATAGTGAATAAAAGCAAAAACAGTATGGTTGGAGGAGGATGTTGGCGAGTGAGGAGGTGAGTGAGGAAGTGGTGGCAAGTGGCTGACTGGCTGGTGAGTGGAGGCCACTCTTCGTTGCTTTTTGACTCACAATACCAACTTAGTGGTTCGTTATGGTGAACAAAATATTCAGATACATATATATAAACTGTGTATATAGTGTAACAATAGCAAAACTATTTGTTTATTGTTTTATGAAGATAATAATTGAATCACTAATATGAACACAATAATTTTGAGTACAGCGATGGTTCACACATTTTATTATATTAATATATCACAATACACACAATTGAATAATATTACTGAAAAAAAAAATAAAAAAATAAATCAGAGACATTGAAATAATTAGGTAATAATATCTTTGTGGCAACCCCCGTCTGACAGCTGGGGTGGAGCAGACCTCGTCTGGCGACTGCTCTGTCAAAGCTGGTTTTCTGGGGGGAGCCCGTCAGTTCCCCGGAGCTATACAGCTATACAGGCTGATATGCTAATGTCAGACTTTGGCATCAGTCATGTGTATGGAGTTCTGTGGGCCTACCAGGGACCACGAGCCAGAATCTGGCCCCCTCTAGAGAGGCATGGGGAGCAATGCTATAGAAACCCCCGTGTGGTTGGAAGCATTCTATGTCTGCCATCGACAGGGTCAGGCACCCAGAAAGGTAAGCAACCCAAAACAAACCCCTATTCTGGTGAAATTATTGCTACCAAAAAGCTGAACAAGTGGATACAACTCCCCTAAAAGAAACGAGCAAACGATCATGACGTCAGAAGTTGCTGCCCCGCTGTCTGCGCAGCTCCCCAACCTCGGGAGGGTGAAGGGGGAGCCCCAGACCCCTCACACCAGCTATCGATCTATCAGTTCTAATGCTGATGTTAGTGGCTGAGATCGTGTGCTCTGGCCCGGTGGTTGTTTCAGCACTGTACCTAAATTGTGGTGACTGTTTTCTAGGGGGTGCGTGAGCCGGGAGTGATTCTCCAGTACTCGGGCTGCGTGCCCCTAAGGTTTCCTTCCCTAAGTGCCCTGTAAGTACTGCCCTTGGGGCTTGGAGTTACCTTCCACAAGTTCCTTGGGTTCTGCCCCTGCTAGGCCATTACTGCTTGGTTTTCGGCTGCCCTTTGTGTGCTAGGTTGTTCTGTCTCCCTTGTTCCCTTTGGAATAGGGTGCAGTTTGTACTGGTAGGGGGCGCAGGGTACTGTGCAGCTTGTTTTCACCAATCATAGCAGCCGGCTTTGTTCCACCTGGGTACGCTGACCTCTTGCGGGGTTTTCTGTTTCCTTTTGTTTGTCTGCCTGGTAGAGGGGAGTCTGCCTTGGTTCTTGCCCCCTGTGTACTGAGTACACTTCCTTCTTCCAGTGGTTCCCCCTGCTAGGTCCCCACGAGTGTACACTTCTCGGGGGTTCAGTTCTTAGACAGTTGTTTGATATTTGTGGGCTCCGGTTAGCAGTACCCTACCTGGGATTACCTGGGCGTGAGTCCCTGTAGGTAAACGCTCAGGACCTTGGGAAACCCCGTGGGGGCGCATGGGTTTGATGGATGTAGCCCCGGAGTCCCCCCTTGCTTTGTGCGAGTTCGAGGGTTGCTCTGTCCTCTTGTCTCAGGGTGACTCAGGCCTTCTTCCACTGGCGATGCTCCCGGAATCTTCTCGGCTACGTTGTATTGTGACACGTTCGTGCCTATGTTCTGCAGGTGAGTTTATGCGGTCTGGTATCTCTTTCGGCCAGGCGCTGGTTCATGGTTTTTGGATACGTATATAAGAACATCAAAACACAGGTGACTGCAACAGGATTATTGGGCCATACAAGGCGGCTCCTATTTATACCCATCCAGTCCCACTGTTATGTATGTCCAGCCCATGGTTGAGTCCAGATAGGGGCCCTCCCTCCACCAGGTTACGAGGTACAATGGTGGGGGTATATATTATGGGGTAAGTGTTCCTGTCTGGATGTTTTGAGGTGACTTTTGCTGCAGTTTTCATGCTGTGGATGCGTGTTGGGGATTGGTTGTGGATTTTTGTTTGGCCTTTCCGTGCTTCCTGGGGCCATACTTGTTCACCTGGGTAAATGGTTGCATGGGGGTCATGGTCCCATTTGTCATAGTCTTATCTGGGTCACTCATTCCTTGCCTGGCTTAGCCCTTCCATATACATTGGATTCTCTGTACGGTACTTACCTAGCTATGTTTGCGGGAGTTGAGCTCTGACTTTTTGGTCCCACTTCTCACCTGTCATTCTCTCACGTGCAGGTTCCTGGGCCTGCTGGGCTTTATCTTATTTGTGCTTGAAGCTGTGTGTGGTGTCATCCTCCACCACATCGCTTATGCTTTCTGCTTGTCTACTACTCTGATACTGCAATACTTCTTTCCCATGTCTCTTTGGCTCGTTTGGGCTCTCCTTCCACCGGTCTCCCTTTGTGCGTGTGCCCCTGGGGTCCCGTAGTCGGTCTTTCTCTGCTTTGTCCCTTCCTTTGGGAATCTTAAATGTGGTGATCATATCCTCGTAGCTCGTACTCCTTGGTTCGGGTACTGGTCTGGTGGCGTACCTTTGCACCTCTTTTCCTTTTCATCTTGTCTTGGGGCGTGTCACACACCTATGTTGACGTGGATTGTTGGGACATGACCAGCGGCTCTGCGTATTGTTGGTCGTGTCCCTTTCATTCCCGTTTTGCTACTTGCCTTCTTCGTTCCTCATCTTCCTTCTATGCTTTTGTCCCTGGCCATTGGTGCTGGGGCTTTTCCTCTGGTCGTTTCTTGTATTTTTCGGTTTTCTCATTTTATCCTGCACATGGTTGTGTGTTTTGTTTGTGCCTTTTGGCTCTACTATTGTCAGGTTTGGGTTCCTGGTTTCCTGGCTTACCTGGCCTGTTGGCGTTTTCACGGTCTCTCGGTTTCCCTTCTCTAGACTCGCGCGTCAGGACTGTCGTCTCCGATCTCCTGGTAGGCGTGCAGACAAGCGGGCGTTGGGATATTTTTCTGTCCGGAGGACGTTCCATCTCCTTCTTTGCCGGCTGGGGTTTCCGGCTCTGCTGGCTTCTTGGTCGCACCTGAGATCTTCCCACAGCTCCGCATCTTACTAGGCTCGATTGGCCACGGCAGGGCCGGCTCGGTTCTGCCTCGATTCTTTCACCTTCTGTTGGTGGTCGGTTGGCTTCGTTGATGGTGTCCCACCTGCATGCTTCTTCTTGGTGGCAGTGTGGGGTTTTTGGCGGTCCTTCCTTTTCCTTCAGTCCCTTCATCGGTAGCTGCATTTGTTGGCGTGGTCTTGTCCTTTTGTGGAGGTTTGGGGCTGTCATCTTGCCCCATACTGTCTCCTCATATTGTGCGGCGCTGGCGGAGTTGCATCAGCTTGCTTTCGGTATTGATGTAACTTCTGCGCCGTTTCGCAAACTGTCTCGTGCATTGTTTCACCTGCAGCCTGCTCTTGCGCCGCCTGAGCCGTCCTGGTCATTGGACTCATATGAAACTGAAGAAAGGCAGTTAGAACAGAAAGCAATTCAGGAAATGAAGAAAAATCCAAAATATTTCTTCTCATATGCAAAATCAAAAGCAAAAACCACTGCCAGTATTGGACCTATTCGTACAAGTGAAGGTTCATACACGGAGGATGACAAAGAAATTAGTGAAATCCTAAAAAAGCAGTATGAGGACATGTTTAGCACTCCAATAAACAACAGGAAGGTGGAAGATCCAGACAATTTCTTTATGCGGGATATTCAAACCCCTGTAAATATAACTGATATAAACACGAGTGCACTAAATTTTGAAAAAGAAATTGAAAACATGCCCATGCACTCGGCCCTAGGTCCAGACTCATGGAATTCAATATTTATAAAGAAATGCAAAGTGCCGGTAGCACAAGCACCCAGTATAGTGTGGAGGAAGAGCTTGGACACGGGGGAGATACCAGATGCACTTAAAGTAGCAGACATAGCCCCTCTACACAAGGGAGGGAGCAAAGCATTGGCAAAAAATTATAGACCAGTTGCACTAACATCGCACATCATAAAAGTATTTGAGAGAGTGATTAGGAGTCAGGTCACCAATTTCATGGAGACCAATGACCTTCACAACCCAGGCCATCATGGATTTCGAGCAGGAAGATCGTGCCTCTCACAGCTACTTGAGCACTACGACAAAGTCACTGAGGCATTAGAAGAAAAACAGAATGCTGATGTGATATACACGGACTTCGCAAAGGCTTTAGATAAATGTGACCATGGCGTGATAGCACACAAAATGAAGTCAATGGGAATAACCAGTAAAGTAGGACGCTGGATACTCAGTTTTCTGTCAAACAGGACTCAGCGAGTAACGGTCAACCATATAAAATCTAGTCCAAGTGCAGTGAAAAGCTCTGTACCTCAGGGTACAGTCCTTGCACCACTGCTTTTCCTTATTCTCATATCAGATATAGACAAAAATACAAGTCACAGCTTCGTATCATCCTTTGCAGATGACACAAAAATCAGTATGAAAATTACCTCGGCTGAGGACATTGAAAAACTTCAAGCTGATATTAATAAAGTTTTCGACTGGGCATCAGAAAATAACACGATGTTTAACAGTGATAAATTCCAGGTACTCGGGTATGGTAAAAATGAGGACCTTAAACATAATATAGAGTACAAAACACAATCAAATGTACCCATAGTAGGAAAACAGCATGTAAAGGATTTGGGAATAATAATGTCTGACGACCTAACGTTTAAGGAGCATAACCAAGCAAATATTGCGACAGCCAGAAAAATGATAGGATGGATTACGAGAACTTTCAAATCCAGGGATCCCATCACAATGGTTGTACTCTTCAAGTCACTTGTGTTGTCCCGTCTTGAGTACTGCTCAGTACTCACTTCCCCCTTCAGAGCAGGAGAGATTGCTGAAATAGAGGGAATACAGAGAACATATACGGCAAGCATAGACGCAATAAAGCACCTAAATTATTGGGATCGTCTCAAAGCCCTCCAAATGTACTCACTAGAAAGAAGACGAGAGAGATATCAAATAATATACACCTGGAAGATACTGGAGGGCCAAGTACCAAATCTACACAGTAAAATAACAACGTACTGGAGTGAACGATATGGAAGAAAATGTAGAATAGAACCAGTGAAGAGCAGAGGTGCCATAGGCACAATCAGAGAACACTGTATAAACATCAGAGGTCCGCGGTTGTTCAACGTCCTCCCAGCAAGCATAAGAAATATTGCCGGAACAACCGTGGACATTTTCAAGAGGAAACTAGATTTATTCCTCCAAGGAGTGCCGGACCAACCGGGCTGTGGTGGGTATGTGGGCCTGCGGGCCGCTCCAAGCAACAGCCTGGTGGACCAAACTCTCACAAGTCAAGCCTGGCCTCGGGCCGGGCTTGGGGAGTAGAAGAACTCCCAGAACCCCATCAACCAGGTATCAACCAGGACAGAATGCTCTTTTCTTTTTCTCCTCTGTTTGTTGTGGCCCCTTCGGTTCAGGATTGTTCTCCAAGGCTCGTTGGAGAACATATATTATTTCTTATTGAAATATTTCTTTTGAAGTGGATTTCATGAGTATGTGGTGTAAAAGTGTGTATGGAGTGCAAATACTACCTTTGTAATGGATCTGATGTTTTTATACATGAAGTAAATACAATGAGAAAAAGTGCTTTTGTAAGTGAGGGAACTTATGTAGTGAATTTTGTATTTAAGTAATGTAAGGTGTGTTGCTTCTGCAGGACCTAGTGTACTACCAGAGCATCAAGATGAACTTCTTCAATATTAGATGTGCAAACTGGAGTACCAATGCTGGCCAACAGGTTATCAGGCTTGATGTGAAAGCCTTGTGTGCTCCTGAGCCACCACTTCTTCAGCCACTTGACATGCTCAACATCTGCATGGGAATCCTCCTCCTCCTCCTCATGCTCAACTTCCTCCACAACTTTATTCAATACCGCAGACATGGTAAACTTCCCTGGATTATCATCAAACTTCCTTGCTGCTGATTCACTACACTTGAACCCTAACTTACAAGATGTATGGGAATAATAATGCCACTGTTGAGGTTGTTGACGTTCTCTGGTCAGATGTGAAATTATATAAATATATATATATATAAAACAAACACACACACACACACACACACACACACACACACACACACACACACACATCCTTTTTTTTGACATCCAGTACCTTCCTCCCTTGGGAAAGAGTGATCACGTCCTGTTAGACATTAAATATGCTTTAAGATATCATCTAGAAGAAAATGGGGACATTGAAACAGTTGATAAACTCGATTTAAAGAGAGGCAACTATGGGGAACTTCGAAAATTTTTTAATGAGTGTAATTGGACAGAATTGTTGCTAGGCAGGGAAGTAAATGAAATGTATGCCAAATTTTTAAAACTATACGAGGAAGGCACACAAACATTCATACCAAAACAGAGATGCAGGATCAGAAAACAGGATTGGTTCGACAGAAATTGTGAGAGGGCAAGAGACCAAAAGACACAAAAATGGAATCAGTATAGGAAGAGACCAAACCCCCAAACATACCAGCGATACAAAGATGCGAGAAGCAATTATACAGCAGTAAGGAGAGAGGCAGAAAGAAATTTTGAAAAAGGGATAGCAGATAAATGTAAAACAGAACCGGGCCTATTCTACAAATTCATAAACAACAAATTGCAGGTAAAGGATAATATCCAGAGGTTGAAAATGGGAAGCAGATTCACGGAAAATGAAAAGGAAATGTGTGAAACATTAAATGAAAAGTTCCAAAGTGTGTTTGTACAAAATGAAATCTTCAGAGAACCAGACACAATAAGAATTCCAGAGAACAACATAGAGCGGATAGAGGTGTCTAGAGATGAAGTGGAAAATATGCTAAAGGAGCTCGGGAGGAACAAAGCAGCTGGCCCAGATGGCGTTTCACCATGGGTTCTGAGAGAATGTGCATCTGAGCTCAGCATTCCACTTCACCTGATCTTTCAGGCATCCCTGTGTACAGGAATCGTAGCAGACGTGTGGAAACAGGCTAACATAGTTCCAATCTACAAAAGTGGCAGCAGGGAAGACCCCCTCAATTATAGACCTGTATCATTGACAAGTGTAATAGTGAAAGTATTGGAAAAGCTAATCAAAACTAAATGGGTAGAACACCTGGAGAGAAATGATATAATATCAGACAGACAGTATGGTTTTCGATCAGGAAGATCCTGTGTATCGAATTTACTCAGTTTCTATGATCGGGCCACAGAGATATTACAGGAAAGAGATGGCTGGGTTGACTGCATCTATCTGGACCTAAAAAAGGCTTTCGACAGAGTTCCACATAAGAGGTTGTTCTGGAAACTGGAAAATATTGGAGGGGTGACAGGTAAGCTTCTATCATGGATGAAAAATTTTCTGACTGATAGAAAAATGAGGGCAGTAATCAGAGGCAATGTATCGGAATGGAGAAATGTCACAAGTGGAGTACCACAGGGTTCAGTTCTTGCACCAGTGATGTTTATTGTGTACATAAATGATCTACCAGTTGGTATACAGAATTATATGAACATGTTTGCTGATGATGCTAAGATAATAGGAAGGATAAGAAATTTAGATGATTGTCATGCCCTTCAAGAAGACCTGGACAAAATAAGTATATGGAGCACCACCTGGCAAATGGAATTTAATGTTAATAAATGTCATGTTATGGAATGTGGAATAGGAGAACATAGACCCCATACAACCTATATATTATGTGAGAAATCTTTAAAGAATTCTGATAAAGAAAGAGATCTAGGGGTGGTTCTAGATAGAAAACTATCACCTGAGGACCACATAAAGAATATTGTGCAAGGAGCCTATGCGATGCTTTCTAACTTCAGAATTGCATTTAAATACATGGATGGCGATATACTAAAGAAATTGTTCATGACTTTTGTTAGGCCAAAGCTAGAATATGCAGTTGTTGTGTGGTGCCCATATCTTAAGAAGCACATCAACAAACTGGAAAAGGTGCAAAGACATGCTACGAAGTGGCTCCCAGAACTGAAGGGCAAGAGCTACGAGGAGAGGTTGGAAGCATTAAACATGCCAAAACTAGAAGACACAAGAAAAAGAGGTGATATGATCACTACGTACAAAATAGTAACAGGAATTGATAAAATCGACAATGAAGGATTCCTGAGACCTGGCACTTCAAGAACAAGAGGTCATAGATTTAAACTAGCTAAACACAGATGCCGAAGAAATATAAGAAAATTCACCTTCGCAAATAGAGTGGTAGACGGTTGGAACAAGTTAAGTGAGAAGGTGGTGGAGGCCAAGACCGTCAGTAGTTTCAAAGCGTTATATGACAAAGAGTGCTGGGAAGACGGGACACCACGAGCGTAGCTCTCATCCTGTAACTACACTTAGGTAATTACACTTAGGTAATTACACACACACACACACACACAAAAGCTAAGGAAACAAAGGTGCCACAAAAACATTAGAAAATTTTCTTTTGCAAACAGAATGGTAGACGGTTGGAACAAGTTAAGTGAAGTGGTGGTGGAGGCCAAAACCGTCAGTATTTTCTAAGTGTTATACGACAAAGAATACTGGGAAGATGGGACACCACGAGCGTAGTTTTCATCCGGTTACTAAGCCTAGGTAATTACTTAGGTAATTACACAAGTAGGGATTGCAGATGCTGGAGATTGAGTTTTCAGGTGATATGATCTGGCTGAAATAATTTATTTTTTGTTTGTTGAGAGTGCATCAGCATCATCATCAATACATTCATTATCTTTATAATGATATTGTCAGCCATTATAATTATTATTGTATGATCATTAGCTAAATTTTATCATTATTAACTTCTTCATGGTATACATCATTGGATGGCATATACAGTACTACAGTACTAGTACAGTATTTAAAACTGTTATCATATTCTTGCCATATATGTGCTCTTGCCTTATGAACACATACCAGATGTGTTCTGGTGCTATTGCAGTCACATTTAGGATTTTTTAATTTTCTCAAATTTGCTAAAAATAGTACAGTATTTTTGGTACAGTAAATTCTTGAGTAACTGAATTGTTTGGGATCGAACTGACAATGTACATACTGTGAAGCCTAACATACACACTAAAATGGATTTTACATACTACTTTATATACATACTCTTTAACCCTTACACTGCTATAATCACTATCTGGGATTTCCTCCAATGTGCAAATCATCATATGTGAGTGATCCTTATGGATTATTATTACTCCTTTTTATGCACATCTGGATGAAGGACTTTCAAATAGCATAGCAGTTGAAAGGTCAAACTATAATATGCATATTATAAAGCATAATATCAACACTTTTCAAGCCTATTATGCACACTATTAAGCCTATCATACATGCTGTAAAGCCTGTGAAGATAAATATTCATACCTTAAACCCTGTATACTGTAAAGCCTAATATATACACTGTAAAGCCAAATATGTATACTGTATGGTACAGTATAACATTCAAATTTTGAACTGGATATAGAATCCATATAACAAAGGTTTACTGTATGTGGAAAGTGGGAGGAGGTGCTTCAACAAGTGTGTGCAAAAAGAGGTAAAGAGGAAAAGGAAGGTTTACAGAGAGAAGAAACTTACTTGCTGGAAGATTGGAGTGGCTTGATTTGCTCTTTTTTTCTTCAAGCAAGCAGTCCCTTGATGGTGGGTTAACAATTTTCCAATGCCTTTTATCCCAAATTACATGATAAGATCATTTGCCAAGATGCTTTTTATTGTGAAGTGGGAAGGTTGGGTGAATTTGACAGACCCAGAGAGTCTGACAATGTCCTGGGCACCTGGGCAGCTTGTAGGAGCTGTCTCAAGTAGTAACTGAGGTACTGATGTAGAAAGATTTACGTTACTCAAAAGCCCTGTTTTTAACTTTCCACTGAAGACACTAAATAAGAAGATTTACTATATAAAATGAATAAGAAAATTTGTGTAATGCAATGGAAGTTGCTAGATATTTTACCGACATATTTTTGCTATGGTTAGGAAATTGCAGGAAGATTAGGAAGCACAACTTGGAGACAATCATAGCCATCCCATGTGGCTTAACTGTAAAGCTTTCCTCCATTGCAGCCATGATTAGTTGTTAAATTTAGTCTTAATCACTGTAGTACAGCATATCAAAATGCAGAAGATTCTGTAACAAATATATGAGTGGTTAGGTGTGCTCTGTATCTTGTGTTCAGGAAATGGATGGCTCCATTTTCATATGTTTATTACATCTTGTGTTCAAGAAGTGGGTATTACCAGTATCATATGTTAACTGTATCTTGTTTCTTGTTTTCAAGAGAGTATTGTGATGAATGGGAAATCATAAGGGCTGACTTACGTTATAATAAAAGACAGGACAAAACAGTTGAAAAACTCTGTAGTTCATTTGTATGTTTTCTTACGATGAATAGGATACTATAATGTTAAAAAGGACTTGAATACTTTCCACCATAATCTGTAATGAAGCAGGACTTGTAATTGTTCATTTTATTTTGTGTTCTGATAAGCAAGTGGCTGCCAGTATAAAATGCTCTATTTAATCATCAATAATAGAAGATAAGCTGCCATAGTAGAATATTGAGTCCACTAGTCAACTTTTAATGGTACCTTATATTCTGCCAGAGGACAGGATTCCAAACAATAATGAGTGACTAGTCAACAGGTTTCTGTCATATTGTGATTTCATTAGTTCATAATTTTATATGAACTTCAACAATGAATCAGTAACTGGCATTATCTCCTACTGGTTCCAGACTTTCCTTAAATGTACCATTAAACATTGTTCACTTCAGTGATAGACTTTGTAACCGTCACACACTCGTGCTATTGTTGACAGGTAGCTATAATTATTGATATAATTATCTGGACATTAGAACAAGATGGAGCTTATGGTTTTTGTGTGAAGGGTAATAATGACAGGAATATCTCTTCATAACCTGTTCATCACCATATATGTATCAGACTTCATCTATCCTAATTATCCTCTTTCAGTCATGACTCAATTCTTTATCAGTCATTGTTAACATTGAAATGATCCTTTTTGTCTTGTCATTTATGCTTGACACTGATGTGATCATTGAATTAGATTTGTAAAGTAATTTTTATGTAGTTTTCTATATAATTTCTATACAGTGCTAAAAGTGTACTGGA